GCAGATGATATGTGCTCAGCAGGAGCAGGCCAGGTTCCTGCAGCAGGTGTTCTCAATTTGGAAGGTCTCATTTGCTTCACAGGCTCCAGTAGGCCTGATGGATACCTGCTCCCACCTGTGACATGGGCGCTACCTGGCTGAACGCTGAGCCCTCAGAAATGCACTTGGTAATACGGAGTCCTGAAGTTAGAGAAAGCTAGCAGGATCTGAACTTCGTGTGTTGGAGTGTATTAGTTTTCTATGGCTGCTATAACAAATTACCCCAAATGTAGTGGCTTAAAACAACACAGCTTAATTCTCTTACAGTGCTGGAGGTAAGAAGTCTAAAACAGGTTTTAAGGAGCTAGGTCAAGGAGTTGATGGGACTGTGTTCTAGGGGTCTAGGAGAGAGTCTGTTCCTTGCCTTTTCTAGCTTTTAGAGGCTTCCCACCTTCCTTGCCTCTTGGCCTCATCATTCCAACCCCCCACTTCTGTTGTCACATCTCTTCTCTGACTCTGACCCTCTCTCCTCCACTTATCAGGACCCTTGTTTTGATATTGGGCCAGCCCAGATAATCTAGGATATTTCCCCATCTCAGGAGTTTTCACTTACCCAGCTGTAAAGCCCCTTTTATCATGGAAGGTATCCTATCCACACATCCCAGGGATTAGGATGTGGGCATCTTTGGAGAGGCAGGATTCTGTCAACACTGGGAAAATCAAAGCAGAAGTACCAGTGCTAAGATGGAATGGACTCTACAGTGTCAGAGAAACCTTGTAAAAGCATAAATGGCAACACCTCACTTTTCTACTCACAGCCCTCCCATGGTACTTGCTGCTCCCGAGACCAAAGTCCTCCAGGTGGCCTGTGAGGTCTTATCTGACACCCCTCTGACCTCACCCTCTCCTAACCTCCCTTCTGCTGTGTCTGTTCAGCTACTTCGGCCTCGTTGCGGCTCCCCCTACACCCCTCAGCCTTTTCCTGTTTCTGAGTTTGCCCTCCCTTCCTGAACCCATCTGTCCTTGGTTTCTCTTCTCAGATCTCAGCTCAAATGTCATGTTCCAAGAGAGGCCCACCTCTCCGCCTCACCCAGAACATCCTCCTTCCCCACCCCCACAGGCCACTGGTCACTCTCCAGCGGCTGCATGTAGCGTCTGAAATGATCTGCTTCATTTATCCATTTCTTGCCTGGCTCCTCAGATAAAAATGCACCCTCCTGGAGACCACCCACAGGGTCAGCCTTGCCCACTTGCTGGGCCCCTAGCTCTGAGCTCTCTGTCCAGACGCTCTGTAGGTGCCCAGCATGGATGCCCGCCAAGACTGGCCAGAGCAGAGCAGGCAGGGCAGCCCTTCCCGCCTGGACAGCCTGGAAAAGGCGGGAAAAAGAGGG